AGTATATTTTGTGACCCATTTAGTTTATTTTAAATTTTATTTTTTATCCGTCCCCAACCTGCGATCGATTAACTTGTGAACAATGATCCCTCACTCTACGCCTCCTGTACCCTGGCCCGGACTGGCCATCGGGAGGACCGGGGGGTTTCCCGATGGCCTGGCCTGTTAAGTGGCCTGCTGGCCTGAGGATTTGTGTGGGTCTGCCTCACACTGGGTGACTGGCTGTCTACATGATGTGACCTGCCGACATGGCCACTGTCATACAGATCATAAATCAAAGCCCTTGATTGTGTGTCATTCAAGCTCGGGATAACTACAGCTCATGTGAGGTTAAGGACTCTCTAACCCCCTAATCCCACCAGGAGCGTCTGCGCTGCGCTGCGTTGCGTTGCGCTGCGGCTGCGGTGTTTTTAGGGATCGCGGCCACTCTAGTCAATGGGTGCTATTCCACCAGACACGCTGTGCCACGCTGCGCCGCGGCTCGAAGCGTCCCAGAAGTTCCTCGCCGCAAGGAATTTCTAAAATATAGGATGAATCCTATTTTTGACGCGGCGCAGGCAGGAAGTGGAATGTTCATCCAACAACTGCGAGGCTGCACACACGACGCTCCGCTTCCGCAACGTTTTGAAACGCGCCTGGTGGGTTAGGATGCAGGAGGAGGTCGCAGCGTGGCGCAGCCGCAGCGCAGACGCTTCCAGTGGGATCAGGGGGTAAGTGTCTAAATCAGGGGTTCTCAAAGTGCGGCCCGCGGGCCAATGGCGGCCCTCGGAAAGGTTTCTGGCGGCCCGCAATAGTTAATGTGACACGCTGAAATGCATGAGTTATATTTTAATCTTCCATGGTTGTATCTAGTAAGAATTAGAATGGAATTTAATCATATATTTTCGATTATAAGGAGTAGAAATATGATTCAGATATCCGCGGAATCGCTGGAAGAGTAGCTTTCCAGCGGTATCTCCTGTGAGACTGTAACCAGGGCACAGCAGCCAATATGGCAGCTTGACTTTACACTGTGTGGGATTGGTGGATTTGTGTGTCCGTCAAGGAAATCTCGGCCGGCAGCCATCATGATCTGAAATGACCAATGGACATCGAGAAATCACTAAGGACCTACCCACCAAGTAAACAAAACATAAACCACGTGTCTCCCATCAGTTTACGTCTGTGAGATGGCTAAAAAAAACTTTACAGTTGCCGACTTCGCTAGAGATTTTTTTCGCTAGCAGCAGTGAAGATAGAGCCTCAGAAACTGAAGTCTTCGACTCTTCTGAAGAAGAAGAATACAAAGACAACAACAAGGATCCATTTGGACATGGGTAGGTGTAAATATTACAGTAATGTGTGGGGAATACCGCGAAAATGAACAATAGGTTTATTGATATATATTTTTTATCGATAGTCATGAACTTTTTATTGGGACAAAATAGACCCTCCATTAGCAAACTTTTACTCTGTGTTAACGTTATTTTGGTGTGTAAAAGTGAGATTACATGTGTAGATGATTAAATTAATCATTTATTCGTCCCACAACTGGACTGGAAATACGTGTGTGTGTGTGTGTGTGTGATCGAGAGAGACTCCTTCTGCAACCTCCCAAACTTTATTTTTATGTGTAAATTGTTATTTTTGCTTGAGCAACATTTTATTTGAACTTTATTTCAATGCAATTAGTTGTAATTATTGTCCTACACAGGTGGCGTTTATCCAGCAGCCACAACATCCATCTGTGCCTGCCCCCAGGTCAAGATCTACTGTGGCTCAAGGGCCTTCACCAGAGCCATCACCACCAAGGACCAGCAGACCAGCATCACTACAGCTGCCTCCACCTCCATCTGCGGCTGCCACCAGGTCAAGATACACCTCAGCACAAAGGCTCCACCACAGCCATCACCTTCAACCCAGCCAGCAAGGGGGTCTCGTGGAGGTCTCGTTATAGCACTTGTACACCCCACCTACACAGAAGCCCATGCACCATCACCCCCATCTTCACAGCAGCCAGACCCACTGTCTTGGAAGACAGACAAAGACCTTGACACTGTCTTGACATTTATAATGAATAGTTGGTTGAAAGTTCTGATGTTCAATATTGTAAATAGTGAGATTTTCCAGTTTCTTATATTTATATAAATAGTTGGTTGAAAAAAACATATTTATAATAAATTGTTGGTTGAAAAAAAGGTTGAATGCTCAATTTGTATTTGTACACATCACATGAACCTTGGTATGTAATATGAAGTCATTATTCAGTCCTGATGTATCTCAGTCCCTGCTGTGGTGAAAGTAGAGTGATAAAGACTTATTTTACTCAATTTGAATTAAATTGTTTTTATTTTAGACATGAATAACACATTTATATACAGTGTAATTCAAATATTTCACTGCTTTTATGATCCTAAGACTTTGGTAACCAAATCTAAAACACCAAAACAATTTGATCACATGAGTAAATTTGTGTTTTCACAAGAGTTTTGAAGATTTTCCAAAAATCTGATGTCACATTTTAAGCTTTTGAGCTACTTATCTCATCAAACAGTGCTCTAAGGTGAGAAATATGCATATATAGCAAGACCAGAGATTGTCCTGAACATTTTGATATGTAACACATGGGGTGCCATGTTAGAAGAAATACATTTAAAAGGTGATTTAAGAAAACATCTAAAAATCGAGAAAATACCCTTACGGCCCGTACACACAGCAGCTTTTGGCGATTTGTCCACCGCTTCCAGCGCGTCTCCGCCCATTGACTTTGAATGGGGATGACGTCACTTTCGCTCGCTTGTCGCCGAACTGCATTGTGGGGGGGCGAGACGAAGATTTCCAGGATTTCCAGGATGTTCAGGATTCCAAAGTTGAACAATGTTCAACTTTTGAGGCTGAGCTGGAAGCGTCAGCCAATCAAACCCGTTTATGCAAATCTGACAGTAGAAGCTCTAGCCAATCAAACCGCGTGTAAGCAGGGAGAACCAGACCGCAGTTCATTTCCTCATATTCCAAACGAGAAATTACGGTAGCAAATCACCCGGTTCTTTACGACCAGACTATTTACCGGGATACAAACCGGAGGAACCAGGCATGGGGGGAGGTGCCAGAGACAGTGGGTGAAACTGGTAGGTTTTCGCTTGTTTGGGGATTTTATATCCAGTTTACTTCGTTGCTAGTTTACTTCGTTGCTAGCAAGCATAGACAGTATCATTAGCCAGCATGGAATGTAGCATAAAATAGCACCATAAACATTAATCTCATAAATGTTCAAAATGTTAAAAAAATAAATGTTCATCATAGCCCTTCCTATTTGACAATAGTGTAGAAGAACCGGGTTGTTTTGCTTTGTATCTCGGGGGCGGGATATTCATGTGATATTCATGGGATTTGTTGTTGGTCGCGAAATCCCCAAGCTGTCAGACACGCCCAGCTCCAGGATTTTCAAGATTTGGTCAAAGCTGCTGTGTGGATGGCCCGTTAGACTCCAGAGGGTTAAGAATGGTAAAACTGCGCCCCCTGGGTTGTCATTCCTAAACTATCACTGACAGCTTGTGGAAAGTTTGCTAGACTACTGGTTGCATGGCAACTAGGCCTCTCGCGAGTTGCGATAATTGGTTAGTACAATAAAGAAAGGATTTGTTTTGGAATTATTTTGTGTTGCGTTTTTTCTTGGGCGGCCCTCAATCCAATATTGGGTACCTAAATTGGCCCTCACTCATCAAAACTTTGAGAACCCCTGGTCTAAATAGTTAACTTAGTTAGTCTAAGTTATCTCAGTGGGTCTCAAACGGTTTGGTCACCATTTATGTAAACACATATTTACATTTGAGGGGAGAGTGATTTGTAAAGTATGCATGAATTAAAAAAAAGAAGTAAAAAATAGGTGAAAAAAGGTAAAATACACTTTTAAAACTTGTTGAGAATTAAAACTAGTCTTGGCTTCTGCCTCAAAGAGGAGCAGGGGGGAGAGGGGAGAGGGGGGAGGGAGGGAGGAGAGGCTGATTCAGGAGCCCAGACACACTCACAACTATAAATGAACCAAAAATAAATAAACAAGTTTCAGTGTTTTTTCATATTGGAAATGGTATGTTATTGGTTATGGCCATGTTCTTATGATTTTATGATTATTGAAATGTATACATTTCTGTTTGGGTATTCCCATAGATCTAGTCTCTTTAAATAGTAACCCATGTCCATATGTGTATTTGTGGGTAGTAGATTTAAACTATAGGGCTATCACTATGGGCAGCAACACTGTAAATATTTGGCAAATAAATCCAGCAAAATGTCACCAAAAAAAACTGGTAGTGGCCTGGCTGGGTGTATAATTTCCGGCCTGAATTATTGTCTCGGTCCTGACTGTACCTGTTCGCTCTGCCATCGCGTGAAGGGTCTGCTCACAAGTGACCAACAGAAAGGTTAATGTTAATGATGTTGCACGTCATACACAAATTACATCCTATTTAAATCAGGTGATGCGCCTCCGTCTTTTCCACATTCCCTTTGCTGGGGTGACGGCGGCCGTACGACGAACGAAAGAAAACAGTAAATGTTGTGTGTGTGTGTGTGTGTGTGTGTGTGTGTGTGTGTGTGTGTGTGTGTGTGTGTGTGTGTGTGTGTGTGTGTGTGTGTGTGTGTGTGTGTGTGTGTGTGTGTGTGTGTGTGTGTGTGTGTGTGTGTGTGTGTGTGTGTGTGTGTGTGTGTGTGTGTGTGTGTGTGTGTGTGTGTGTGTGTGTGTGTGTGTGTGTGTGTGTGGCGGAGTCAGTCACTCTGTGATCCGCTCCGTCACAATAATAAAGTACATTTGTCTAATAATACTTACATACTTTTACTTAAATAACATATGAATGCAGTACTTTAACATGTAATGGAGTATTTTCACAGTGTGATGTTTATACTTTTACTTCAGGATCTACTACCTCCAGCAAGCGCTGATAAAGAGTCTAAAGTGTTATTAATGTGATAATAAAGTGTTACTGATGAGTTTAGAGTGTTAATTAAGAGTAAAGGGAACATACCTGCTCTGTGTATCCGAAGCTGAGGCTGTAAAACAGCGTCCAGTAGTTTCTGGAGTCTCTCGTTCTCCTCTTTGGAAAGAGACAGCTCCTCCTCAAGCTCTGCTATCGTTTTTTCAAACAGAGCAAATATCTCTTCAGCAGCAGCAGTGAGTCGCTGCTTCTTCAACGACATCAGCATTTGGACTTTACTCATGTTTACTAGATCACCTCTTCCTGCAAACTCCATTAAACACACCGTTTCTCTCTCCATCAAACTCTCAATCTGACTAGTGTTGTTAACGTGTTTCCAGCTAGCATGCTAAGCTAGCTCCTATAGTCCGAGGTAAACGCTCCAGAAAAAAGAGCACTGAGTCCATTCAGAGGTTTATCCAGACACACAGATGATGGATCAGTGGTGCTGGAGCTCACACACACTTTCTGAGGAACACAAAGAGAGAGAACCGTAGCGACGAGACGCCACATGGATCCAGGTTAGAAAGAGCTTCTTCTTCTTCTCTCGGTTTTTGGCGGATCCCAAACAGCTTTTAGTTGCATACCGCCGCCTACTGTACATGAGTGTGTATTATGTCATTCCATCTCTAATAAGACAAAAATAAAATAAGAAATCATAAAATAAATACAATAAAACAATCATCCATGATCTATTCTAACCTACTGTTCGATTATTTTAACATTAAGAAAGGTAAACAGTGCCTTTCTGGTAGCTCTTACTCCCTCTCCTTTTGTTCCCAGAATACCAAACCAACACACTCTCACTCCATAATCGTCCAGGAGCAACGTTTGTTCAGGGTCCCGTGGCGTGCAGTTGTGGTCGCTCCTAGGCTCCTTCAGCTTCATAAAGGGACGCAAATAGCTTTCAACTGATTGCAATGTATTCCCATCTGCGGCGGGATTTGACGCTCATGGAAGCACGGCTCGTTTGTGTCGGCTGCCCTTAAAGGCAATGTGAGCGTTCATTCCCATTGGATAACGGAGAATTGTACACCCGGAAGTAAGTATTCCCCTTACTGTCGATTGATTTTACAGTGATATCTGCACAACTCATCGACTAAAAAACACCAGATTATCCTTGTTAATTACACAACATTGATTGGTTTAAATTGTGTACAATGCTTTTGTATTTTTCCCCTTCGATTCGGAGAAACAAATATTTTTTCGGAGTAAAGGATGGCAGAAGACACTACACTACCCAGAATCCCCAGCTATCGTTTAGGACTACACCATGTGCTCTGTTTGACAAACCCCGTTTTTTTTCACCATTCATTCCAATGGCCGGCGTCTATGTCACGTGATCTTCAAATTTCTCCCTGCAGAAAAAAAAAACATGGCCTAACTTCGTTTTATTCTCGGTGGAAAATGCCTATTTTAAAGTTAGTTTGGCCATTAAAATGCGTTTTGATGTCATTTGATGCGAGAAATATGAGTTGTTATTTCAGATTATGTGTGCAGTGGATGTACATGATCTTTAGTTTGCTAGTTATTACGAAGATTACTTCAGGATATTGCGTCCATAGAACGTTTTCATTGTTACCAAGGTGGTTGCTAGGGACGCTGCTATCGATATTATTTCTGTTATGTTGTGTAACAGTTTAATGGTGTTATCTTTATTGCTACCCCCTTCCCCGTCAATGTATAGTGTTGGTCCACGCGCAAACGTATTAGTTTAACAAAATCCGCATCTAAAGATACGTTATTTTCCCCTGTGCAATTCCAGTCTCACATCTCACAGCACATCGTCATTAACAAATACCGGAAACAGACCGAAAACATTTTAAAAAATAATTATAATACTTTATTCCGAGTGTGCTTGCTTTTCTCTTTGAAAGTCATCACATAACGGCATTGTAATACATGGTTCGGCTGCATTAAATATTACATATCTGCCGTAGTTCTCTATTTATAGAGCCCTGATGGGAAGACTTCTAGACAAACATGAGGAACTGCCGCCAACACTGAAAACGTGACATGGATCATAAATATATCAGCCATTAAACAACATCTTACATTTATTTTCACACAATACGTCTCCTTGCAGTATCAACACTAATTCGGCTGACTTTTATATTTGATCCAATTGGTAGATAGGCTGTATTTACACCATAAAGGTGCACAGCTGATATAAAGGGACACCTAGTGGTTAAAGCATGTTATTGAATTTCATTATTTTTATTATTAGATATTAATAGGATCCCTATAAAGTATATTCATTACTCGTTATTCTCTACTAATAGTTAATTAAAGACTGTATGTAATTACTATTTTGCACATCCCTTTCAAGATTTCAAGATTTTCTAAGGTTTATTGACATATCATATTCACAAACGGTGTAGTTATGCATTGAATGAAAAACTTGGGTCGCAGGTTCCTCAATAGTGCATTACAAGACATCTATCAATATTTGTGCATACCTCCAGCAATGTTAACTATGTTGAAGCACTTATTTTAACTGATATTATACATATGTATTATACTCTTATAAGATGTATGTAGATATTTCATCTCTGGCCTTGTCAGGTATTGAACAATCAATAAATAAAGAACACAGAATTTATAAATATAAAACACAGAATGTGTGTGATTATACTAAATGATTTACAAATAAACATCACTGCATATTTACAACTGTTACACATGCTGATGTAACGCAAATGTTCCAACTTGGGATCCATAAAGTATATCTTATCTTAAGCTGATCGATGGCTACTGCCATATTTGCAAAATGTGCCTCTGAACCTTGACAAGTGCATGTTTCAGGCTTATCAATTAATGTAATGTAATGTAATGTACTGTTATCAATTAACAACAGGAGGGGTCACAAACATAAGACCAGCTGTTAAATAAAGCTCTTCTGACCTTAGCTGGCATGTGGGTATATATATTAATGCTGCCCATTATGGGCACAAGCAATTTTCACCCATTTATTAATTATATGTTTTAAATTAGAGTGTTTCCTATCCCCTAAACCTCCAGGGATGTACACAGTTTAATACTGGCAACTTCTTATTATGGGAAATACGAAAACTACAACTCCCAGTAGAGACGTGCCATAGATAGAGAACATGTTGCGAAACACAATAGCATGCATGTGTAGTTCTGGGGACGGGTTGGGGGAGGGGGGGACGCGGTGGACCCGTTCAAATCCAGTTTTGGACAGTCTGCCGTGGTTCCATCCCATTTCAAGTGCTGTTCAACGCTCGGCGTAACCCTCGGACCACACTCTCCAATCACAGAGCTTGAGGACTATCACGGGGTTTGTCAAGCGAAGCGGAGAGAATAGTTACTTCCCGGTGTAATATTCTCTAAAGCAAATGAGCTGCTCCGACCCTCGGTCCTGACGGACTCCAACTTGTGTTTATTAATCAAACAAATAAATAAACACAAGGATAATTATGTGTTATTGCTGAGTAAATGGAGAATTGCACAGGGGAAAATAACGTAGGCTATCTATGCCACAATTTTAGATGCAGATTTTGTTAAACTAATAAGTTTGCGCTGTGGACCAACACTATACATTGACGGGGAAGGGGGTAGCAATAAAGATAACACCATTAAACAGTTACACAACATAACAGAAATATTATCGATAGCAGCGTCCCTAGCAACAAGTAACAAGTTAATAATAATAAAATACATTAAGAAAAAGGCATTTTAAACAGTCATTAAAAAGCAACACAATCTACCTGCATTGCATTACTCTAAACATGTAATAACGTGCTTTAACTAGTAGGTGGTTTGGGTTAAAAAGCTGTCAAGTTTACAGTGTTAACTAAATCAAATATACTGCTGTTTCTGGTTTAGTTTACTACGGATATATTTAGTTATTGTTTTGATATTTGTAACACAAAAGCGATGAAAAAAAACCACAGCAACACAGAAAAGATGGTCTTAACATGACCCAGCGGTCTAGTAGTTAATAAAAAACAAAAATATCAAAACAAAATATTACTAACTTTATTGTGAAATTCAAACTGAACGGTAAAAGAATAGTTTCCGGTCTATTCTGAGCCCGATCACTGTAGATAAATAAAGAACAACGACAGATGTGTAATATATTTAATGCAGCCGAACCATTTATTACAATGCATTCATGTGATGACTTTCAAAGAGTAAAGCAAGCACTGCTGAATAAAGTATGATTTTATCTTTTCCGAAACGTTTTTTTTTTTCATATGGAATGCAGTTGGAGGTCAACCAATCACAGAGCTTGAAAACTAATCACGGGGTTTGTTAAACAGAGCACATGGTGTAGTCCTAAACGATAGCTGGGGTTTCTGGGTAGTGTAGTGTCTTCTGCCATCCTTTACTCCGAAAAAATATTTGTTTCTCCGAATCGAAGGGGAAAAATACAAAAGCATTGCACACAATTTAAACCAATCAATGTTGTGTAATTAACAACGATAATCTGGTGTTTTTTAGTCGATGAGTAGTGCAGATATCACTGTAAAATCAATCGACAGTAAGGGGAATACTTACTTCCGGGTGTACAATTCTCCGTTATCCAATGGGAATGAACGCTCACATTGCCTTTAAGGGCAGCCGACACAAACGAATGCCGTGCTTCCATGAGCGTCAAATCCCGCCGCAGATGGGAATACATTGCAATCAGTTGAAAGCTATTTGCGTCCCTTTATGAAGCTGAAGGAGCCTAGGAGCATCACAACTGCACGCCACGGGACCCTGACCAAACGTCGCTCCTGGACGATTATGGAGTGAGAGTGTGTTGACCAAACACATTCCACTCCCTCTCTGCCTCTATAACTTTATCCTTTAGTTTTTCTCTTTCAGCTTTATAGATGTCACAATGTAATAAGGTATGTTCTACATTGTCTTTAACTCCACAGTTTCTACACTTGTCACTGTCACTTTTCCCCGTGACAAACAGCTTACCATTCAATGCTGTGTGATTTAGTCTGAGTCTAGCTATCATGATTTCCTCCCTTCTGTATACATAGTAATTGTAATTGTCTTTTGAACTTTATGATACTCTTTAACTTTCTGGTCTTTCTCCCACCTTTTCTGCCAGATCTCCATCCATTTTTTCTTAATGACTGTTAGGTTTCCCGAGAAGTGACTGGAGATGAGAACCCGCTATGCAAGCACTACAACTGAGACTGTGGTGAAGTGTCAAAAAGGCTTTATTTTGTCCACGACACTGACAAGGAGTTGACGAAGCACACGTAGAGGGAAGACGTAGAGCTGGGCTGCTCTGGAGGGGAGGCTGGACGTGGCAGGCAGAGCGGCTGGAGTATGTGGATCTGGAACAGGAAAAACAAGCAGGATTAGGAAATGATCTCCCTTCACTAGGAGCATCAAAAAAGTCACTAGGAAAAAACACTAGTAGGCCTGGACGATAGTTTACCACTGAAGAATAAACGAAGAACTGGCGAAGTCTGAAGATGGGAACCAGGGTTTTAAGCAGGTGCAGGTGAGTAGTGGCAATCAGTGAGATGAGCAGCAGCTGAGGCGGTGAGTTGGCGGGAATCGGAATGTAGGTAA